TAGACGGACGAGGAACTAAGTCCCACGTCTTATTTTCAATAAGAGCATCATATTCGTCTTTCATGGCCATTTTCCAATTTTGATCATTTAATGCATCAATGGGATTTGTAGGTAGAGGGGATATGGAGGTTGAGGTTGATGTATGGAGATTGAAGAGTTTGCGAGGTTTGACGATACCGTGTTGGGCTCTGGTTGTCATTTGAGGGGAGAAGGGCTGATTTTGTTGTGAAGGTGGAGGAGTCGGAAGTGATGTAGTGGATGGGGATGAGACGATATTTGGTAATGATGGATTTAGAGGTGATGTTGTGGATGGGGCTGATGTTATGGTTGGTGAGGTGGGATTGTGGGAGGGTGACGAAGGCGAATTCAAAGAAGATGGTGATGGTTGGTAAATGTTTGTTTGAACTGGTGTAGTTAGGGTTGAAGTGCGATTTTGATGGTTAGAGGAGGGAGCACTATAGGAATAGGATGGAAGGAAGGGTGTGTCGTCATCCAAAAAATTATAACCAACCGTTGTAGGAACATTTGGATTAGAAAACGGAAGCTTAGTTTCATCAAAAATGACATGCCGGGAAATAAATATTTTACGGCTAGATAAATCATAGCATTTGTATCCTCTATGATTTGAGGGATATCCTAAGAAGACACAAGGTGTAGACCGAGCTTGTAACTTATTTCTATATGATGAAGGGATGAGAGGATAGCAAAGACATCCAAAGACACGAAGGTGAGTATAGGCCTGATCTTTTTGGTAGAGTATTTTAGTGGGTGATTGAAGGAAAAGCTTTTTATTTGGAAGGATATTATGTAGGTAAGTGGCCATGTGTAGTGCATGATGCCACATTGATGGAGGTAAAGAGGCATGGGCGAGAAGGGTATGGATGATGTTGTTTATGGTACGAATTTTTCTTTCGGATTTTCCATTTTGTGAGGAGGTGTGAGGACACGAAAATCTAAAAGACATTCCATTTTTTTTACAAAAATTATGAAACATAGTGTTATCATATTCTTTACCATTGTCACATTGGAAACATTTAATTTTTCTTTCAAATTGTGTTTCAATGTGAGTTCTAAATTGAAGAAAAATGGAATGAACCTGAGATTTTGTATGAATTGGAAAAGTCCATAAAAAATTTGTGTAATCGTTAAGAAATAACACATAGTAACGATGACCTTCTGAACTAAGAATTGGTGAAGTCCAGAGGTCGTTGTGCACAATATCAAAAGGCATAAAAGTACGAGACACAGAGCTATAAAAGGGAAATTTTATTTGTTTTCCAAGACGGCATGAATTACAAAAGTAATTGTTCCGAGACTTATTACATTGGAGAAAGTTGTCTCTGTGTAGAGAACTTAAGATAGTAGCTCCTGGATGTCCTAAACGGTTGTGCCATAATTCTGTGGATATTGCGGCAAAGGTGGATGGTGGTAAGGTTTTATTAGGTGGTCTTGTGGCAATGGGATAGAGGTCACCAGAACTGTTACATCTCATTAACAGTATTCCTGTCTGAAAATCCTTCACAGAAAAACCAAAAGGATCAAATTCAACCGACACATCATTATCTATGGTAAATTTACGAACAGAGATAAGATTTTTTATGAGTTTTGGTGCATGTAAAACATTAGGTAATTTTAGTAAATGAAGTGAATTTGGTAATGATGCATGTCCACAACCAATTACAGGAATATTTTGACCACTACCGACAGTAATATTATTACTCATATTGAAATAGGACGAGAGATTACCTCCGTTGGCCGTCATATGCGAGGTTGCTCCGGTGTCCATGTACCACTGATCATCAGGAGTAGAAAGTGAGAGAGTATGCATGGCAGCTTGAATATCTGTTGGAGCATATGAGGAGGTTGGCGCTGTGTTGGCGACATAAGCTTGATTTGGAGCATATGAGGAGGTTGGCGCTGTGTTGGCGACATAAGCTTGATGAGATGGCTTGGGACCAAGGATGTCGGGTTGTTCCTTTGGATTTCTTGCTGTTGGATACGGACAAGGTGGTGTAGCCCATGGTTGCCATGGCGGGGAGCTCCATTGTTGATATTGATTTGGGTATGGCGGATAAGCCCACTGTTGATGCGGGTAATATGGTGAAGGCCATTGCTGTTGCGGAGCACGACCTCCGCCACGTCCATTGTTTCGCCCTCGGCCTCGTCCACGCTGCCCTCTGCCATTGTTTCGGCCACCACGGTTGTGGTTACTGTTGTTACCGCGGTTAGGACGGGATGCCGATGAATTAACTGATGCGTCATTGTGAGACGCCATGAAAGATGAATTTTCGACTGAGCTTGACACCTTTTTCTGCAGTGTTGTTTCTTCCAAAATGATCATGGAACGAGCTTTATAGAACTGAGGAAGTGAATCAGCATGACGAATTTGAGATCCCACAGTAGCATATGCATCGGTTAGTCCCGAAATGAGTTGAAGAACTAAACGTTCATTCGATACAGGGGCACCAACATTAGCGAGTTGATCAGAGAGATATTTGAGATGCTGACAGTAGGAGGAAGCATCAGAGAATTGCTCCATATGAGTTTGCAAAAATTCTTGCTCTAGGTAGAGAGCCCTAGAATTCTTGTTATCATAAAAGATGTCGAATAAGCGATTCCACACGATTTCAGCGGTGGAATTATGTTCGATGATAGTGTTGAGAAGATCATCGGAGATTGTTCCATATATCCACTGCAAAACGACGGCGTCGAGACGAAGCCATAACTGTGGATTGGTAGTTTTGAGAGAGGGATCTGCGGCTGGTTCAGAGGGATTGATATGGTCAATTACTTGAAAAACTCGAGCATGAATTTTGAAAAGTTCTGACCACGTGTTATACGTGCCCTTTTCAATGCTCAGAGTAATCTTGATGAAATTAGTAATATTTGGGACAGTGAGAGCAGGGTGAATCGGTGTAGGAGTGGTAGGTGGTGGAGGAGGGTCGGTATGACCGGATGATTTCGGGGAAGAGTTATTGTTAGAGGAATCAGAAGTGGTAGTCATGGCTGTTTCGCGGTAGTTGAAGAGAAAAAGAATGAGGGATAGAAAGGAAGAAGGTTTACGGCTGATTTTAGGGTTTGGAACAAACCAAGACTGATACCATGTAAGATAATTTAGGCCGTGCCTTTTCATTCATGTGATAGTCATTTATATACACAGTACAAATATGTGATTATGATTCTAATAATCATTGGTAATCAATACTAATAATAATCTTTCTATATTTACATATCTAATAGTGTGATAATATAAGCATTATTGCTCTTGCTCACAACCTTGTAATTCATACACGAACAAGTCACATAGAACTCAACTTGTTCTTTATTAGAGAAAGTATTACACAAGCAACTCAAGTTCATTCAAAGTGTTGATATACTCATCAAGGCATTTCCTCCCTCTAAGTTTGAAGATATCATAAGCAAGCCCGTTGTGTTTGATGCTCAAATTACCCACGGTGCAGCTTGAGGAAGGCTATTAAAACAGAGCATTTCTTTTTCCATCTTGTTACAAAATACTCTATACATTTTCAAAAATATCTCTGAAAATCAGAAATATATTTCCAATGTACACTTGCACACACATAATTCATTCGTCTTTTGAGATCCGCCATATTTTATAATAAAATTTATTTCGAAAATATATTTCTAAATGTACAAACAACCAGAGATATTCCTTTGAAATTATCTTCACTTGATTCTTCAAAATATAAATTTATAAATTATTTACTTAATATTACTAATAACTTTAGTAAGATTATTGGAAAATTGAAAGTTTTGTTGGACATGTTGAAAAGTGTTCATTGGGGGCGGTGGTAAGTAAGAGTGGTGTATCACCTGCACTCCATAATGATTAGTGTGACTTTGATTTTAAAAAAGAATTCGGTGAAGATAATTTTAAAGGAATATTTCTGGTTGTCTGTACTACTGGAAATTCAATTTTGGGAATTTCTGAAAGTGTATTTTTAGAATTTTGCTTAATGCATTAGAAAAGTCTAAGGTGGAAAAAAAATCCCCTTAAAATGTAATACAGTAGGATTTAATAAATAAATTCAAGGAGATTATTGTAGGCATGTCATACAATAACCCAACATGTGTAACTAAATGTAACTAAACGCCTCCATTTTTCGTTAAATTTTGTTGTGTAAACCCACTCGACACTAAACGTTTTAGTATGTGCTAGAAGATCAGTCAAAACCCAAGTTTCATTCATTGTGATTGCTCTAATATATGCATTCATAGCTATTTTCCACCTCTCGTTCTTAATCGCCTCTTTAAAATGCATAAGATTGGATGTTTCAAACGACACTATATTAGCCCCCATTTTCTTGAGAAATGCCTTATCCACTTTCGTAATCATCTATTTGACATGGTATTTTTCTAGTTTTCCCTTCACTTGTGAGCTTACATCATTCAAAATTTTGATAAATCTGTCTCCACTTCTTCAATATCACTTTCTCCTTCACTACCTCCATTTACATCATTTCTAATTTTATCAAAATCGTCTTTCTTTTCCTAATTAACTAATTTTAAAATTGCTTGTACATACATATCCTTACCATTTTCACAGCTGTAACTAAATTGCTTCAGCTGTGTTGGGACTGAGTTACTCGGGATGCAGCCCAAGAGATGGAACTACTCCAGCCAAAAAAAACCATAGTATGCACGTTAAATTAAACAAATAATTGAGAATTAAGAACAGGTGCACCCAGGGATTAAAAATTAAAAACATAATTGGCCTTAAGAATCATCAATTAACATCTCACCAAATCACCATCCCAGCAGATCAAAGTTTAAGCTGATGGAAACTGAAGAAGGCATACTGAATACCTCCCTTAACAAAAGAAAGAATTCAAAAAACAAACAGGCACTTTTGCCTCTACATTCAGAAAAAGGTTCTAATTAAAATGTTTTGAAAAATAATTGCAATAAATAGTTAGCAGGGCCGCATAATGAGTTACTCCAATTCTCGAAGAGAACAAAACTTCCAACGATAAACCAGATCATGCCTTTTTGGGTCTTCCTCTCTTACCAGCAGATGACTTCACCGGAGTAGATTTAGAACTGTTTTTATTTGCAGGAGCGCGACCGCGCCCTTTGCCAGAACCTTTGCTCTCAGGCTCAGACATTTTGGATGCCTTTCCTCGACCCTTGCCAGAATTTTTTCCACCACGTGATTTCTTAACCTCAGCCTCACCATTAACTTCATCATCGCTATAGTCACTTTCTTCAGCCTGTTCTTGCTCTTCTTCCGAGTCAGATGAATCTTTTGCTGTTTTCCTCTTCTTTGAGTTGTCAGCTTTCTTTGCACCCTTTTTAGGAGCAGCAGCCTTCTTAGGGACTGGAGTTTTGTTCACAGGCTCAGTACCTGCAACAAGAACACAACGAACTCAGTACAGTATAATATTGATGCATTTGAGACAGTTACCATTAACTGGTGAAGTTTTAGATATAGACTGCACATAAATTGAACTGTAAAAATTGCATACCTTCTTCACCAACAGCTTTGCCGTCATGTGTATCAAGCTACAGAAAAAAGAGAAATTAGGAGGAGTTGCACACTTCATCATATTATAAAATATAATGCAAAATACAGTGCCTTAAAAAACAGGACCAACCACAAACTTGGGATTACTACAAATCACAACTCCCCAAAAGATTGTTCGAAGTGTTGAATAAATAGATATCGCCTATAGGAAGCGGTGAGAGAAGGAAGAAAGTCCAAAAAATTCATTAAGGAGCAGAATCTAATGATAACATTATAATCTATAAAAATAGTCCATGGTACTGTCATTGTGATCAAAGATTCTAACGATGCAGGAAGCTCAAACATAGTCTGAAACATAATATAACATATGAAACAAACAGCTCAAGTATAACCTACAACATAAAACCAGACCACATTTAATCCTTAGTGAACTCGACGCAATGATTGAGAGCTTGAGAACCAGATTTAAGAGCTACCTGGTCAAGTCTTTCAGCAATATTTGCTCTGTCAACCACAACCATGGAATGACCCAAACCACAAGCAACACTGTTTGCAAATAAGAGAAAAATAATTAGACAAATTTTCATTTTGATTAGCCATGAAGATTTTTTTTTTTCAAAAAAAAAAGGTATTTGAAAAGCTTAACTTTCATAAATAGTTGCTTTTTTTTTTTTGCAGCTTACTGACATGATCAACAAACAGCTTTTGTTTTATCATAAATTAGTGTTGTTTGAATTTTAACATTATTTTTAATATCAAGTGATTGATCGGGTCAACAAATTCAATAGTTGAATAACAATGGTTTAGCATGCTTAAACTCAATAAATTCATTTTCCACATTTTGATAAGGTTAAGTTATTTCGTTTAGCTCAATGGGATCCTTCAGAGTTTTCTTCTGTCGAATAATTTGACAAGGTGAAGTTATTTTGTTTTACAATGCATTTTCAAAAATAGGAGGATCGGTGATGCTTTGTTTAATTACCTGTATTTTGAGAGATATTTTATTATAATAAAGAGAAAATGATTCAGTAATGACATGTTACATTGTACTAATATTGACAAATATTTATGATTCAGTAATGACATGTTACATTGTACTAATATTGACAAATATTTATATAAAGATATTTCCCTGCTACTCAAAAATTTCTGAATATGTCACTGACCTCATTACATGCATACCCTCAAGTAAATCCACCTTTTTGGGTACAGCTGAAGACCTAAGGGACAAGTGCAAACAGGATTAGAAAATTATAAAATCAAAAAACAAAAATATTGTTGCTAAATTAGTTGTATAAAAACTTACTTTTGTCCAGTAGGGCCGTATCCCAGCTCTCCATTCTGAGCCTGACCCCAACTTATGCATGAGGAATCAGCCCCGACAAAATGGTGCATACCCCCAGAATCCATGCATCGTATATTCCAACCACTGTTTACCAAAATAAATATAGACTATTTAATCAATTTACCTAAATAAATATAGACTATATAATCAAAATGAGTAAGTAAATGAGGGGGGATACTCTCTGTTTCAAAACTTTTATTCAAACCATGGAATAAAGCACAACCTTAAGTCCATTAGAGGCTTCGGGTACATCCAGTCATCACCAGTGTTCTTTAGTTTGCCCCACATGTACAACTGCCCTCCAGCTGAAAAGAAAAAATCACCAGTGTTAAATAGAGATAGTTGAAGTCACAAATATATTATATCTCGGCCACTATTCAGCCACTATTTCATATCACGGCTAAAAGTATTTGTTATAGAATTATAGATACAGCATCATCATATTCACTTTGGTAGCCAACCATCCCGATATCAGTATGCTATGTTCATAACAGATGCATTATCAGAAAAGAAACAATTAACATAGATTACAGCCATCAAAGCAAAGAGGCACGTCATATCAGTGAACATTTATCAAACAAGAGACGTGATTGTGTTAGAGATGGATACCTGCAGTACAAGCAGAACTCAAAGAACCTGCTGAAATAATTGCTTCAGGAGGTAAAACATTTCTATTTGTGAAAATGTCAATACGACGTGGAGCAAATTCATCCTTCTGCTCCCTGTGACCTAGCCTAGAATTTTTTTAAAAACAGTTGAAAAGTTAAGCACAAGAGTAGCGACCAAATATCTAAATCCAATATTAAGCCAACGAAATGGTAGTTGCAATTTCACAAGAATTCACAGAGCATGGACAGCCCAATCTGAAAACAACCACCAACCTTCCATAACCACCATAACCCCACCTGTACAAATGAATACCAAACAGATTACAACTTACATGTACACAAAATGGAAGTTAGATAACGAGATAAATAAAACACCAAAGGATTACTCACGTGTAGACAAACCCATTCTTATCCACCGCCACTGAATATACGAAACAAAAATAATAAGAAATAGTAATATTCAAGGTCTAATAATCAAGATCTCAAAATAACAACCACCTGTGTGATTTGATCCACATGCCACCTTGACAACAGTTTCACCAGCCAGGGAAGCTATGGCTCGAGGTCGTGGCTGTGGTTCGTAAACTAATTTCACAGAGCTTTCTTTGGAATTATACTGCACAAGCACATGCAACATTATGTACATTCTTCTTGCAGCAACAGGCATACAAATGTATGTTATCATGAGAAGAAAAGATTATCATGCAGGAATGAGGATGGATTTTAACTTATAAGCGAACAGAACAGAAATTAAAAAATAAAAGCATGATTGGGTCAACACAATGGACATTAACAGCTAAATATTTAAGCATATTATCAGTATTGACACAAACTCGTTCTAGAATGAAAAATTGGTTCTTAATCACTTAATAATCATCTGCTGCTCCACACAAAAATGATCCCAAAACACAACAGAAGAGGATGGTGACTATACAAGTGTGGCATTACTCAAACAGCACCTGATTAATTATTTTGTAACTATTAATCATATATCAACATCTATATTAATAGCATTTGTAATTATTAGATATTTGTGCTATAAACTATGTTAAAACATGAGCCTGCCCCCAACAATCTACTATAAGCTCAATGGTAATTCAATGGCCCCAGCTTCCATGGACTCAGCATCTGAACAACGTAGCATGTGATGACACTCAAGTCTTGGGACATACATCAAATGCCATAAAACTCACACATCTTCCTCAATCATACCTCATTATCTGTTCCGTGCCCAAGCTGCCCATACTGTGGAAGCCCAGCAGTCCTGGCAATTAAAAGAAAGAAAAAAATGAAACTTAACAACTACTAAAATCAAACAAGAACAAATATCCACAATCACGGATAGACTCAAGAAACCTTAATACAATTTTCAGAAACCATACAGTATAGAAGCTCCTTCAACTGAAGACAACCAGACAGAAAAGTCGCTACCACATGTAGCATATTTAACTTCAGAAACGACACAGCGAATGGGAGATGATTCAATTTCTGCACAACACAGAGCAAGGTTGTAAATCAAATAGCCACTCTATTATATGGGATAAAAGAAACAGTGACAACAAAAATTTCTGCGGAGTAACTTCACTATACACCCATGTAGTTACGTTACTACACAAGCGTGTTTACTCCATTGCACTATATGTTGTTACTCCACTGACAATGTAACATCTAAACCAAGCCTAAGATAAGCATGGATCACATTAACTAACAACAATCACCTGTTAAAATGTACACGGTGGAAATCACATAGCATATGTGTACCAAATACTTAGTAAAACATACCATTTTTTGTAGAACCCGAACCTAGCTGTCCATGTTTGTTCCATCCAAATGCTAGAGAATTTCCATCATCTGTAACAACCACTGTATGGCTCTTCCCAGTTCCAGCTTGAACAATTTTGTATCTTCCAAGAGAAATATCAACAAAATTAAGCAAAACAATAAGTAACAAGAGAAAGAACAAGATACATAACCTATGAAGCACAAACACCAGGACACAACAAGACACAGCTCCAACACCAATAATGTCAAAAACATATGACAACGACACTGCTACATATATGGTAGTATTTGAGCTTTCATTTATCCATCTACTATTAAAAAAGTTAAAAACATTCTAATCAAAATTAATGTATTTAATTCTTCATTGATAACATTGCTTCAATACATGTTTATAATTCTTCATTGATAACATTGCTTCAATACATGTTTATGCCTTTAAGATATGTGTGAGATTTGTCCAAGAAATGTATACACAAATTTAAAGAGTCTTGAAGCAAAGAAAAAAGGACCACTAATCCCTGCAGTCACACATTTGATGCATTCAGTTAAAACTTTAAATTAAATATTTTTTATTTTATATATAAATTAGAAATAATATTTAAATTTGTTTGATCTTGATCTAACGACCGAAAATTGCCACATGCATGAAAGCGGCAAAAAAATTAACTGTAGTGGATTCTACTTCAAGAGAAAAAACAATTTTTTGAGGACGTTTGTATGACTTTTACGACAGTGTCAGTGTCAGACACTATTGGACACCGACCCATGTCGGAGACCGCAACATGCTAATTCATGGACGGAGGTGTCAGTGCTTCATAGCACAAAACTAACCTTTAAACTGAAAACAGGGCAAGTAAAACCATTACCAAAATAAATAGTTACCATGAGTTACAAAGTCAAAAACTAAACCACCACACAAACAACACAATCAGCACATCACAAGAAACGACCACAAAGTTTTGTTTATAAAAACAGAAAACACAAACTCACTTTGAAAGTCCAGACACCACAGTTGGCCTATCACGCTGAATAGTATCTCCATGACCCAGTTGCCCTTTCTGCACATTAATCTCACAAATCAAAAACACACAACACAAACAAATAATTCCAAACAGCCATTACAACTCAACGCCCATACCTCATTACGTCCCCATGTATAGCACCGCCCTTCAACATCCAATGCCAAACAATGACAAGACGCTGCAAAAAAATCAACACTTAAACGTTTAAATACATTCTACACACAGATCAGAACAACATAACATACTAAAAATAAAAAAGAAACTTTACCGCAACCAGAAGCAACGTAACGAATATCAATCCCAACGAGAGGCCTTAGCCTTGACGGAGAGACCAAGTTCCCTTCAGCCGGCCCTTTCTTCCGACCAACGATATCCCAACACGTGGCACCACAGAACAAAAGCTCTCCGCCTTTCGGAACTTCGTTCTCTTCCACAACCTTCTTCTCACCTTCGGAAGCAGACATTTCCCGTTCACTCCGGCGTACACTCAGGCAAGAGCAACGGTCAAAAAAGTTTTTTCCGGAAATTCAAAAAAATATATATGAAAATGACAGATCTAACGGCTAGAATTCAAATCTAGTGAAGAAAATGGCGGGAAAGTTGAGAAGAGAAGAGAAAACCGGGTTGGTTGTCGCAGAAACTACAGTGAGAGATGAAGAAGAAGAAGAAGTGAAACCCTAATTCGATTTAATGATAAAATAAAGAGAAAGAGAGCGTGGTAGTTAAATAGACACAACAAAAAGGACTGGATTGTCTTTGGGTTTAGCAACAACTCAACTTTTGATTTTCAAATCAAATGAAAAGTTATAAATTATAAATATAAATAAAATCTGAAAATAATATTATATAGAAGAAGAAAATCAATAATTAGAAATATGGAAATTTGGTTTGGATTTTGGATGCACTAGCCACTAAGGTCGTTTTCATGAGATTTTCTTTTATTGACTTTTGAATAATATTGTTAAAATTTGATTTTTATATTATTTATGTAAATTTCATGATATTTTTTATGACTTTTGAATAATATTATTTAAAATTTAATTTTTATATGAGTTAAAAAAGAGTACATTAACAGTGTAAAATAGTTTTACATTATTATCTGATAAATTATCATTTAATTATATTACATAATTTATTTAAAAATAATAGTATAACTTAACACTTAACATAATTGTGATTAATTGACAATGTAAAATTATTTTACCTTGCCTCTATATATCATTATTTCTCTTTTTATATATCATTTATTACCATTTCAATCAATTAAAATTAATATTAAATTTATTTGACAATAAAAATATATTAAAAATAATATTAAATTTATTTGACAATAAAAACATGTTTACCAACGTCTGTATCAGATTGCTAAAGTCTGAATGAGTAGTAAAATGACCGCCGTGTCTGAGGTGTATCTATATTGTATTTGACTTGAAATTCTGAATGAGTAATAGAATGACCGCTGCGTCTGGGGTGTATCCATACTGTATCTGAATAATTGTTAACGATAGCCTTTTAATCTTATCCTGAAAAGGGTAAAATGTTAGCTAAAACATAAATTTATGTTGCATGATATGTATGATGCAATGAACTGTGTTTCATCAATGTTTATGATATATGAATGTAATGGATGTGCATGTAAGCTGGGTAGTTATCTTGCTGAGGAAAATAAATCCTTGATAACTGGAGATAATGAAATATTTGACTGCTGTCGGGGAAAGTAAATCCTTGACCGATGTTGGGGATTCCAAAAATCTTTGATTATTGAAGATGAGAAATCCTTGCTGATTGCTTGGGGATTAAAGATCTCTGATTGTTTGAGAAGGAGAAATCCTTGGACCACTGCTGGAGATTGAAAATCCTCGACGATTTGTGGGGATTAACAAGGCCTTTGACAACTTCTGCAGGGAATGAGAATCCTTCATGACTTTCCTGAGAAATAGGGAAAACTCTGAAAATCTCTACTGGGGAGTTAAAACCTAGGAGGCTTCTGCTTGGAGAAATGAGACCGAGAATATTCGATCTATTGGGAGATAACTTTTTGGGGAGAATGTTTACTCGGCCGGTGAAATCAGGAGGTTTGGGTTGTATGCCAAACTACTGGGGAGGTATCCTAGTTGGGGATAAGCCAAGAGGTTAGCTGTTATCTGCTTGGTTTTTAGACTTTTAAGATAGCCTGCTGGGGAAATCGGGGGAAGTTGAACAGTTCCCACCAGGGTTGATAATTAGAAACTTGACTTCGCCGGGGAAGAAAGTTTAGAATATTCTGGCTCCGTTGGGGATAAGTATTTTAGGGTTTTTGGGCTCCACTGGGGATCGGGAGTTTGAACTCTGATGGGAACTTTGAAACTTAACTTAGCTGGGGAATCAAGTTTAGAATGCACTGGCTCCGTTGGGGATCCCGAAGCTTAACTCCGCTAGGGACATATACTCCGAGGTTTTTAGCTTTGTTGAGGATCTGAACAAAGTATTGCAGGGGATTTCTTCTGGAATAGCACAAGGTTATCTTTCTACACCTTCAACCTATCAGTAATTATCCTTTCTCAATTTCGTTTTTTTTTGTAAGCAGTGATTATATTCAAATGCATATGCCTATTTAACAAAACATTGGACGTTTTCAAATAAAACATAAGTGTAAAACGAAAAGAAAGGCAAGCAAATTTCTGCATTTTGAAGTATTTTTTGTATTAACTTTTGTGAGTATCTTTGTACAAAGGAGACAAACATCCTAGTAAGAGAATGTTGTCGTAAAAATTGAAAAAATTTATACAAAAGAAAGATGGCTATGTGTAACAATTTCATGGGATTCCCATTCTGTTATAGCCTTCACAACTTTGAGTATCTTGTCCATTCGCTGCTTCGTCCTCCGATGACTGGATTGATCAGAAGCTTGGAGCTCGTTGGTGAAGAGATTGTTCTTAAAGTGATCCGACGAGACATAGTCATACGCTTTAAATTCCCTAACTTTTGCCTGGACCGCCCTTTCGGGTTTTCGATCCACCAGGAAACCCTTTTTTGCCCAAGTCGCCCTTTCGGGTTTTCAACTTGCCGGGTGTACATATTTTTTTGTTTTATCCCTAATTTTTGCCTGAACCGCCCTTTCGGGTTTTCGGTTCACCGGGATGCCCATTATTGCTCAAGTTGCCCTTTCAGGTTTTCAACTTGTCGGGTCATTTTTATGCGTAGTATCTTTTAACTATGTCTCCATTCGCAGGGTGCGGCAAGTCATCGCCGTCCATGGTGGTCAGAATCATTGCCCCACCAGAAAAGATGCTCTTAATGACAAATGGTCCTTCGTAAGTAGGAGTCCACTTGCCCCTGGGATCACTTTGCGGCAAGATGACCCGCTTGATAACAAGATCTCCGACTTGATATACTTGACGCATGACTTTCTTGTTGAAGGCCTTGATCATCCGTTTTTTATACGTCTGACCATGATAAACAGCAGTAAGTCGCTTCTTGTCGATCAAATTAAGTTGATCAAGCCGGGTCTGAATCCAACCGTCTTCACTCAAACCGGCATCCTTCATAATCCTCAAGGAAGGAATATGAACTTCCATGGGTAGAACAACTTCCATGTCATACACCAAAGAAAATGGGGTTGCCCCTATTGAAGTACGTGTCGTGGTACGATATCCATGAAGAGCAAACGATAACATCTCATGCCAATCCTTGTAGGTGTCTGTCATCTTTTGAATGATCTTCTTGATATTTTTGTTCGCAGCTTCAATAGCACCATTCATCTTCGGCCGATAGGGAGATGAATTGTGATGATAAATCTTGAAGTGCTCGCACAGAGCGGTGATCATAGTGTTGTTCAAATTTGTACCGTTGTCCGTGATAATCCTGTCGGGGATACCATACCGGAATATGAGGTTCTGCTTGATGAAGCGAGCAACCACATTCTTTGTAACTGAGGCATAAGAAGCTGCCTCGACCCACTTGGTAAAATAGTCAATAGCGACCAATATGAAGCGATGTCCATTGGATGTCGTAGGCTTGATCTCTCCAATCATGTCAATGCCCCACATTGCGAATGGCCAAGGAACTGTCAGAACGTTGAGAGGAACAAGAGGAATATGTACCTTGTTGGCATAGACTTGGCATTTATGGCAGGTATGGGAATGTTGATGACAATCAGCTTCCATGGTAGACCAGTAGTAGCCTGCCCTTAGAATCTTCTTAGCCATCGTATGTCCGCTCAAGTGGGTGCCAAATGTGCCACTGTGTATCTCGGTCATGATCAACTCAGCTTCAGCTTTGTCCATACAACGAAGTAAAACACAATCATGGCTGCGCTTATAAAGGATGCCATTGCTTAGGAAGAACTTGGCAGCAAATCTCCTTAAGAACTTTTTATCATTGACTGTAGCTCCTTCAGGATATTCTCTAGTCTGGAGATACCTTTTGATTTCATGAAACCAAGGTTGTTCCACTACTTCTTCGGTATTAATCTCATGACAATGCGCAGGTTCGTCCATTCGCTCGATGGTAATTTGGGGAGCCTCGTTATCCCAGTTGAGTTTAAACATGGAAGACATTGTAGCCAGAGCATCTGCTAGCTGATTTTCTTCTCGCGGGAAGTGCTTGAAAGTAATCTGCTCGAAATGAGGCAACAACATCAAGACATGTTCTTTGTATGGGATAAGATTAGGATGCTTGATGTCCCACTCTCCTTTGACTTGACTGATAACCAAAGCCGAGTCCCCAAATACGACCAAAGATTTGATTCCCAAGTCTATAGCAGCCTTGAGACCAAAGATGCAAGCTTCATATTCAGCCATGTTATTGGTACAACTGAAGCAAAGTCGGGCAGTGAAGGGTGTATGGCAACCTTCCGGAGAAATGAGTACCGCACCGATACCATTACCAAGTGCATTTGAAGCACCATCAAAGTACAGGGTCCACCGGGATCCTTGTTCAGGTCCGTCATACGGTCCGTTACCTTCAATGTTGTCCAATGTCATGATGTCCTCGTCAGGGAAGTTGAATCTCATAGATTGGTAATCTTCGATGGCTTGATGAGCTAGATGGTCAACTAGTACACTCCCCTTTATATATTTTTGGATAGTATACTGGATATCATACTCAATCAGGATCATTTGCCATCTAGCGACTCTTCCAGATAAAGCAGGCTTTTTGAAGATATACTTGATCGGATCCATCTTGGAAATCAACAGAGTGGTATGAGTCAACATATACTGCCTTAGCCGGCGAGCGGCCCATACCAAAGCGCAACAAGTTTTCTCGAGCAGTGAGTAGCAAGTCTCACAATCGGTAAACTTTTTGCTAAGGTAATAAATGGCATGCTCTTTTCGGCCAGACTCGTCATGTTGGCCCAACACGCACCCCATTGAGTTATCCAAAACAGTCAGATACATGATTAACAGCCTTCCTTCGACGGGTGGCATCAGAATAGGAGGTTCTAGTAAATACTCCTTGATCTTATCAAAAGCAACTTGACAAT